AGACCAACACGAATCTCAATTGCCCTAAGATCATGAACTCAGCTTTCCAACAACGAGCATTTTCAAACCATCACAAATCTCAATTACCCTAAGATTTTCTAAATATATAACTAAATCAAGCATGTCTTCTGAATAACTTCAGCAACTAATCGGTCACAAACCATCCTAACATAGAATAGTTAAAAAAATTGTTATTCACTCTGTCATGTGATATCAGGTTTCATACACACAAACAATGATATACAAGTTCCATAAAATCATTAAATTTTTGCCAAATATTTAAGATGAAGTAGATAATACGGGGAGAAAAACCATAAAAGTATTAAACTTTTGCCAAATATTTAAGATTAAGTAAACAATACGTGGAGAAAATAAATGAACATATTATCCCATTGAATAACACTAAAATTTTCAGAAATTCATAACAGAAGAATAGCAATTCTAACAATGCCAAGAATGAGCATTAAAATTAATAGATAATGGTATCTAATTATGCATGCTATTGAGAAGATTAAGGCACAAAAAGGAAAATGTTAATTCAATTTCATCATGAAAGGAAAAAAAATAAAAATAAGATAATTCTCCAGTAGCACCATGGAGACACCATGTCTCCGCACGGAGTGAAAGAAAAGAAAAATTTTTAAAAAAAAAATTCTTCGATGGGCGGAGATACTCTCCGTGCACTGCGGAGACAATTTTTTTTTATTACCTATCGATGGTTTTGGATACAAGTCTTTTTTCCCCAAGTTGACTCTTCTTGTTATTAAATTTAGACGATAACATTTGCTTACATTTTATACAAACTAAATACAATTTCACTTATTAATAATTTGATATGCACAGTTTGTATTTATATTAAAATATGTTGAAATTTAAGTTAGATTTGCTCATAAATTAATTATATATTTTCAACACATACACGAAAATCAAAATCAGACCCATCGGGGGCGTTGCCTCCAAGCCCCCATGAGGGGCGCTGCCCCCTCGACACCCGCAGCCCTGACGAGGGGCGTTGAACTTTATTGTCATAAACTTCTTTGTCGCTTAGGCTGTGGTGCTGAAGCTATATTTTCTTTTGGCATATTTTGTCTATTCCTTGGCTCTGGGAATATTAAGCAACGTTTATGCAGTTGTTTCGTGAATCGGGTCCTTCTGCCATTGGGTATTTGTTTTTCTCTGTCCCTTATTTGGAGTTTGGTTTACAAATGTTATCTGCATTTCAGCTCTTTGGCCCATTCTTTGATTATTTGGTTTGATAAATGGATTTGATGAGGCCTTAGCTAATGGAGAATAAATTATCTACTTCCCTGGACACGAGAATGAAACTTGGCATATAATATCCCAAGAAATTTCTTCTATTTATATAAGGATTGTTCGTTGGAAAACCCGCCTTCTTGATGTTTACTGGAATATTAACTTCAGAATAACTGTGTAACTTTTTCTATTTATCTTCAATTATTTAAATGGATTGTTTGCAAAGACTTGGGTAACTTTGTTCTGCTTTTCTGTCAAGGTGTTTCCTTATCCCCTTTCCAAACTGCATGAAAAAAACCATAGTTTATTAGCTATGTTGAGATTTGGAATCTGTGATACGCCCATTACCAGTTTCTTCATTTGTTGATACAAAAACTGTGGTGATACAAAATTGTGTTGATATCAAGATAATCCTATCTTTGGATTTGCTTCCCGAAAAAATGCTACCATCGACCACAATTATAATACTCAAACTATTCCAACGTGCCATTCGTTTTTTGGAGGGAAGCTAAGCAAGTGTGGACCACAAAACTTATTTCCTCAATTATTTTCTATTTTTCCCACCGTTTTCCTTGTAGATGAAAAATCATACAGCCCCAAATTTTTCACTCTTTTTCACTCTCCACGCCGAGGTGTTAATAGTGTAATTGTGATTGGAAAATGGGTATATTTTATCTCATTAAAAAAAGCTCTACTGTCTTCGGAAACATATTCGATTTCGTTTTGGTTACCATCAACTTGAACTCAATGTTGTGTGGGCACACAGTAGCATGCCAATTTACTTGCCTCTTCATTCTTTTACTATTTATTACTAATTCTTCTCTTATGACCGAGCAGTGCAATGCATGACGAAGAAATTTAGAAGAACATATTTATTCATATATATTCCCGCCTTTAGAATTGTTCAACTCTTCTGATTATACCTTTTTAGGATAGTTTTTTTTTTCTTTTCTCCATTCTTATTTTCTCTTTGTGTTATGTAATTGAGTGTGACAGGATTCAGCAAGTCAATTTGTTTTAGCTGTAGAGTTCTGCTGGACATCATTAGACTTTCTTGTTTATTTTTGCATTCACATCTGATTAAGGTGACTTTTATTTTATAAAATGTAATATTCACTCATCATGAATCATGATTGGATAAATTGCTGGTGAAATGCAACCTTTCATCTGGGAGATGGTCGACCCCTTGGTGGTTTAGATTGCGGCAGCATTAAATAACTTTTTCTCTCTATTGCGTTGTTTTTATATCTGACTCTATATTAATTGTGATTTCCAAAATATGGGGTATGCTATTTTTTGTTCCAGTGAGATTGTTTTCAAACAATCTTGATACACCGTAGGATTATAATAATTTTGTGTACTGCCTACACTGAATACTTTTACTATAACGTTGCGAAGTTCACTAACTAGATGCATTTGTGTAACTGAGAATTTAGTCGCTATCATTGATGGCTACTTGTTTGCTTCATTTTTTACTCTTTTTTATTTGTTAGGGTCATTAATAGAGAGAGATTGCTTGTCGTCAAGCATTTGAAAAATGAGGCTTCGCCATTTGATGATCAATTCCTTTCTTCAGGTTGCTGATGCTCTGTATTATAATGCACCTTTGGCGCTCAATGTTTTGCAAAAGCTTAACATTGCAACAAAAATGTTTAATCTTTGGTTTCAAATGTTGGAATAGACTAAAAAAAGTGGAGTGCGGATAATTTTAAAAGGTATGCACTTGTTTAAGTTTCTTTCTATTTTCCCTCCATCTTCTGCCAGAGAGACTTGCTTAAGGATTCATATCATGTTAATCTTGCAGGGAACAAGATAAAAAAGGTATGCTGCTTGGGCTTAACGTCATTTATCCCTCTCTATCGATCAGTTGTCAGGAGAGGCGTTGGAATTTGGATACATGATGAAATTATCTGTGCGATTTTCATATGTTTTTGTTGTTGCAAAGTTTATTAATACTGTTTGACTAGAATCAAATAAAGTTTGTAATAGAGAATACAAGAAAATCATAATCAGAATTATCTCGAAAGAGTCGGGGGATTCTTGAGTCCTTGTACACTAATCAAAACAAAATTTATACAAAACTCGTGAAACCCACGTGACATCAACTAGTATGTGTGTGTGTATGTTGTTTACTGAGCGTTAGCTTATTTCACGTCATTCCACCCCATTTTTAGATGATAAAGGTAAGATGATTTGAGATGATGACTTATGGTAACACGAACTCAGTATTATCACATTTAAATATTGAATTCGTTTTGTAAATAAAGTTAACATTCAATTTCATTGTCTCATATTTCTATTAAGTACAAATTATTTTAAAATAATAAGTAGTTGATGTTTGTTATATTAAAGAAAAATTAAATTGTCTTTTCGCATTTATGATTTTAAGAAAAAGTTAAATGATGCCACTCTTAAATTGAGATTATTGTAGATTGTACAGAGAAAGATTAAAATTTATTAACGCAATTCAGAGTAAAACTATATAGTTATTTTTCATCATTTCATTTGTTTCGTTGTTACTACTATTGAATTAATGACAAGTTATGAGACATAAAAAGAATTTTTTTTATACAAGGAAAGATTTAGGTGCAATGGGACAAAAATATTAGTTTAGATATTATGGTGACAGCCAATGAAAGTAACGGGTCATGAGACAAATTTGCTGTTAGCCAAACCAAATGACACAGGAAGGACCACTGCCTTGAAGTTACAACTCACGATTCAAACTTTTATTATCAAATTCATATACAAGTTATTGGGTCTCACTCGTCTAATAAAATATGATCGTTATTGGGTCTCACTCGTCTAATAAAAGTCAACAATGACATCTAGTTTTTCAATTTTAATCCAATTTTAATCTCTACCGAACATGCCTAAATAAAAATACTGAAAGAAATAAGAAAATTTAGACGACTTTGGACATAATAATTTTTTTTCCCTTTTAATAGCTATACATAATAATTCTCTTTGTAGTTTATAAAAGGAAAATAATGCAAATTCTCTTCTCTTATGTGCCAACCATATCCAAATTGACTGAAGATACGCGACCAAACAGGACCTACACCAAGTAATACTTCATAAATTGTCCTATCCAAACAAGCTATATATATTTAAGCTCATCAACATCAAGATAAAAGGAAAGGTACCCAATTCGGTAAAAATTCTTTAAATCTTATTTTTTTCCAAACTCATTTTCAAATGCACATTTTTTCAATAAAATAATTTTGCTAGTGAATTCAAAAGAAAAAGACAAAACATTTCCTTCCACAACAACCCCTTTTCAAGTATTAAATCAAGTAATTCTAAGGTCGAATGATTGTACTTAAAACCCTATCGTGCAAGTGACGGGGTTAAAAACGCTAGTGTTCTCTGAATTTTTAGAGAAATTTCATGTTGATCGTTGATCTTCATTTTTTGTAAACTGGTCCTTGAACTTAAACATTTGTTACATTTTGATGTTTCCATTCACGTTCTTTAGTTTTGATTCACAAAAAAGCTAATGTACCAATCTAGTTGGCAAATAACTAGACAACCACGTCATAATTTATTATTGAAACTAAAGAATGCGATAGAAGTAACCAAATCATATAAAGAGTAGTTTCAATGAGCAACTTGAAACAAAATAAAGTTTACTTCCTACACGAAACTTTGTCATGAGTTTATCGACTGCATGTGTATTTGACCCTATAAATAACACAATCAAATATAGACACTCAAATGTACCTAAGATCTAGCCATGAAATCCTTCATAATTTGAGATTCTTGTGATGACCAAATTTTGAGAAGAAATGTGCAAGGATAGAAAAGAAGGAAGCAATGCCCCACATGATCCATGAAAAGAACGTATCTATCCAGTCCTTGAATTTCTTCTTGGGGAGGTGTGTTCTATCAGATTGCAGCAATGCCCTGTAAATGGCTTCAGTCAATGCAAATGCAGTCAATGGATCCGATTCCTCGGGAAGAATTCCTTGTTCCGTTAAACAAGGTATGTCGTATGCACCGGTCGTCTCTGGTATCCCTAGAAATTCGCATATCTTCAGCCGGCCATTGATTCTGTCCTCGGCATTTAGCATATCTCCATGTGTTAGAATCAATATTGGATTCTCATCTGCGATCAATATGAAGTAGCACTGTATTATTGTGTCAGGTTAATAGTTATTAAATCTTCTTGATAACAAGGCATGTGTAGCATTATTACTTATAGAACTTACTGCATTTTTTAATAGATGGCAAATGGAAGAGGTCTCTTAGTCCCTGCACTGGCTTCAAGTCACCACATTTAAATGCCTTATGAATCTTTGATAAATCAGCCACAACCATTACAAAATTGACCTTTCTCTTAACATATCTAGAATTGGACTGCCCCATTGATCCACCACTTTCATCCCCAGGTCTGTAACAAGGCTGGTTATGGCGAACTCCGGTCGACATCCATGTTGAAACCTCCTCTAAGCCATCGTTCATTTGGTTTTGATCTAAACCCCTCGTATCATTCACACAAAACCCACTTCTTGGTGATCTTAGAACATTGTGTTCCTCTAGAAACATTGTCGTATAATTTGAAGATTCACCTAATTAAAAGCAATATAAAGAAATTATAATTAGATAGTTATTATAATATAATACGCGAACACAAACACAATTATTATGACTATATAGGGTAAAAGTCACCCTAAACTAGGGGACAGGATGCTTAGATAGTTATAAGCTCATAACTCAAAAGCCACCGATGAATTTAAATTCTGGAGATGTCATTAAAGTCGTTACATAATACCTTGATTTTGACATTTATTGGGTCCATGTTCCCAACTAAATGACTTATCGATCCAACCTTCTACTATGTCCTTGTTTGAGCCTCCATTTTTCCCATCAAAATGAATTTTTGAACAGTGATTTTACACATTTCAATTACATATTTTTCAATAAAATAATATTACACGTAAATCCAAAATTTTTCTTTATTTTTTAATCATACATTCTCGATTATAACATTATTGCGAAATGCATTTCTTGAGAAAAATGGGGCTCAAACAAGCCCTAAACGTGGCTTAGCTCTATCTAGGTCGTTTTCTCTGCACCGGTGTCATTCTTGTGAGAGTGTCTGCTCTAAGACTAATTGTTATATATGACCACTGTAAAACCAGCTTGTAAAGAGACTTAAACGACTTGAGATCAATTAGGTGGAATGCAATTAGAGTCGTTATAGTAAATATATTATGGAATGTTTTTACCTGAGGTTTGAGCAAAAGGGATGAGTCCAGATCGACCAAGAACACTGTACATCAAGTTGACGAAAGAACTTTTTCCGGAACCAGAAATCCCTGCAAGAAGAATTGCAACCACACCCGGTATTTCCATATCTTCTTTCTTGATTCCTCCGACCGGCAACCAGAAGTCGCCTGATCGATAACTTATCAGCTTACGCCGGAGATCTTCAAGTCCTTCAACAGCAACAAAAGCCAACCTCTCCATTTCTCTTAGAACTTTGATTCTTGGAGTGAGATTTGAGAAATCAGTAATGTCAATTTTGAAATGCCCATTTTCGTCGAACTCTTCCTGTGTTCTCCACCAGCAAAACGTCGTTTTTTCTAACTCGTTTTGATCTTCATCGCTGAAGGAAAGTTGGTTTCTCATTGGGCTATGGAACCAGAATTATAGCAAGATATTGGCGGTGATCTTCTAATACAGCAGATCGAATGGTCAAAACGAGACCCTTTAACAGTCGACCACTCTGTCAAGATTCACCCGGCAAAGAAGAGGGCCAGCTGGAAGAGAAGAATGCAAGTTGAT